CCCCAATATATTGGGCCATGCAGCACATTTGCATTATCGTCATAATCCTTTAAATAAAGAAAGAATGACGTGATTTATGTGATTGATTTTTCAATGTAAAAATGAATTAAAATATAATTAAATACATAAATAAAAACTATATTAGGATTTTCTGCTGCAGCATTAGTGAATTAGCATAGACCAGAAATAATATGATGTAACATCTTTTTAAAACTGGTTTCCTCATTGCCTGTTGCATAAAGTTGTAATTCATCTTGATCTCCACTAGGGGGGACTGTTTACAATAGAGAATTTATTGTTTTTGTTTTTTTAACTTCACGTCTTCTTAACTTGAAGCTATTAGCACATGACGTCTGATCAGCCTTTAAAAGGCTACACGCACCACTGCCTTCATGAGAAAAGTTTTGATATAGTTTTGTAATTTTGACCTGACCTACTTTGGGAAGCAAATATGCAAAGAATGTGCCAACACGAGTCAGTCATTACAGCACTTAGTCACCACACTATTACACTTTGAAAGTTTGAGTCAGCTATATATAGCGATCTGTCTGCACTGCTCAGCACACAGCCCTGTATTAGCACACCACATGCCTGAGCGCTGTGGCTGCACAGTGATAATGCACAACAGTTGCAGAGTCGTTTTTCAGTTCAAGGGTCATTATCAGCTACAGAAGGAAATCTCCAAGCCCTCAGATTATATCTGTCAGGCCTCTCTGATATTCGTGCCTCTGGCATCTGGCCAGACAGAAAATTGTTTGAGCTGATAAAGTGTGGGTGTGTTGTGCTGTTTGACTTTTAGCCGTCTATGACCATCAACAGACAGAACGCAAGGACTATATTTTGCAAGTCTCACAACAACAAATCCTTGAAAGATGAGTAAATTAAACTTGAGCATGAATTTGTCTGCATCCAGGGCCAATGTAATAAGGCTGACTGTCTATACTTTGCTATTGTCTCGTGAATTGGTCTCATTTACTGCCGATCTATGTTCCTCATTGCAAAAGCACATAAAAAAAACTGTTTTTGCTTCAGTTAATGATTTCCTACATTGTCCCAAATGGCTGCGAGAGGATTTCAGAAAATGTGGTATTCAGCTGTGGATCAATGGGGACTGTTGTTTCACAGTCAATAGAAAGCAGAAAATCCTCTAGTATAAAGACTTCTCCATAAATCTGATTAGTGTTTGGTGCATCTACAAAGACTCTATTCTTTGAGGACCCATTACTGTCGAGCAATGAAACACTATGTTAATTTTTTTTGCCCCACATCAGATTTTAGTGTCGCTACTACATGACATTGTTACATTTTTGTGATTAATTGTTGGGAATTGTTTTTTGGAGAAATGCCAAAACTGTCTCTGCCTTTTCTTTAGAATAGTAAATATCTTTTAGACTCTAAAAGATGGCCGTAATTGGATACTTTCATCATAGATTGAAACATAGTAGCTTTAGTAGCTCCCTTTGCTTAGGCATCATTCCATTAGAAGGGAAAAACAGATCACTTTAAAAGTGTTGAGGTATTCTTTGTAGATTTTCTCAAAGGTGTAAAACAGTTTTTTAAGTATATGAGGTGACTTAAACTTCCACTTGTAAGTCAATTTTATCAGTCTTTGACCTCATCTCTGTAAATCTTAAATGTAAACGCCAATGCCTCGTGCAGTGACCGGACGTTTTGTTACCTGGATACTAGCATGTAGAACATTCCCAGAGACATGAGAGAGATCCCGATGTGAAAGGAAACTCCCACTGCTCCATATTCCTTGAAGACTTTCTTAAGCTGCTGGGTTTTGTTGGGTTTCCCT